GACAATCATCACTTCAATGATCAAAATTGCAGATATTTTACAGCAAATGATGTAAACAATGTATTATCAGATAATCTCAATATCTCTGTAATCAACTTGAACGTTAGATCCCTAGGTAAACACTTCGATGATGTTAGTGCCTTGATTGAAACTATTGACAACAAATTCTCTTTTATTATACTTACTGAAACGTGGTTGAAAGAGGATAATACTCAACTCTTTAACATGCCTAACTACTCGGCAATTCACAACTGTCGTCAAATGCAGAGAGGTGGTGGTACTGCTCTTTACTACCACCAAGAACTAACATGCTTAAAAATAATTAGAACTAGAGACTGCTGTGGGGAGTATATTTTTGCCAGTTTCAGAGTCAAGGGTGCCGAGTCTGTCCTGTCTGTGGGTGCAGTCTATAGAATTCCTAACACTGATGTGTCTGAATTCAACTCAAACCTTAGAAATCTAATACTAGATAACAGATTGAACAAAAACCATCTAATTATCGCAGGGGACTTTAATATTGACCTCTGCGAGCCTGAACACCCTACTGCTGTTAGCTTCCTCAACTGTATGAATTCCTGCTTCCTCATACCCTTAATCACTAGACCAACTAGAATCACTGATAGTACTGCTACGACTCTAGATCACATCTGGACCAACATAACCTCTCCGCTTACTTCAGGTATAATCACCGATAGCACTACAGACCATTACCCCACATTTCTCTTAACTAACATTAGCAAACCACCTCTAGAGACAAGGGAGTTAAGCTTTAGGCTGCACAATGAAACTGCTATAAACAATTTTATAACTGCTGCTGATAATGTCAACTGGGAGTCCGAGTTAGGTAACATAGGGGACATCAACCTAGCAGTGAAATCTTTTCTACAAACAACTCTTAGTCTTTATAACACCCACTGTCCTATGCTTACAAAACAAGTCACAAGCAAAAGACTTAACAATCCTTGGCTTACAAAGGGAATACTTAAATCCATTAACAAAAAACACGACCTTGAGAAGAAGTATAGGCTAGGAACAGTCTCCAAAGATTTCTCAAAGAATTACTCGTTATTGCTATCTAAAATAATTAGACGAGCCAAAACTAAATACTATGAAGATAAATTTACCCAAATAAAGAGCAACATTAAAAAAACTTGGAGCACAATTTCACAAATATTGGGATCAAAGAAGATTTTAAATAACAAACCAACACTCCTTTCCAATAACGTTGGTCAGCTTTCAGCCTCTGATTCTGCTATTGAGTTCAATAGGTTCTTCTCTTCCATTGGGTCATCCCTTGCAAATGATATTCCATCTTCCTGTACTGATGTTAAGGACTATCTTACAGGTAACTATCCACAGTCTCTGTACCTAAAGCCTACTAGTTCCACTGATGTCAATGAAATAATCCTTTCCCTTAAAACCAAGTCTAGTGCCCTCGAGGAGATACCAACTTTAATTTACAAAAAAGCCTCCAGATCTCTAGCCCCTGCTATTGCATTGCTCTTCAACAAGTCACTTGAACTCCAAACCTTTCCTGACATTCTAAAAAAAGCAAGAGTAACCCCTGTCTACAAATGTGGTGATCTCACTGATGTTAACAACTATAGACCTATATCAATCCTGCCTAACTTGTCAAAAATATTCGAAAAGCTAATCTACAAGCAGCTTTACTCTTTTCTAGCCAAACACAATATACTTAGCTCTTGTCAATATGGCTTCAGACCCAAAAAAAGCACTAACGATGCACTTATTAGTATGATTAACGTAATTCACGCAGCTCTTGATAAAAAGGAGTTTCCTGTTGGGTTATTTGTGGACCTGCGTAAGGCTTTTGACACTGTCAACCATCAAAACCTTCTTCTTAAATTACATCATTATGGAGTCAGAGGACACTCCCTGCAATACCTCAAATCTTATCTTACTGACAGGCTCCAGTATGTTTCTGTGAATAATACAATTTCTCCCACCCTACCCATCAACATTGGTGTTCCTCAGGGCAGCATACTTGGCCCTCTCCTCTTTCTCATCTACATTAATGACCTTCCAAATGCCTCCCAACACCTCAAACCAATTCTATTTGCTGACGACACAACCTTCATTTACTCCAGTCCTGACCCCCTTGCTCTAAATGCCACAGTAAATACTGAGCTAGAGAAAGTCCATCTTTGGCTAACTGCCAACAAACTCACCCTTAACATTGACAAAACGTTTTATATTCTGTTTGGCAATAAATCCTCTAATCAGATAAATCTCAAAATAAACAATACCCAAATTTGTAACAAATTAGATGGCAAATTCCTTGGCGTTCTCATCGACCACAAGCTGAATTTCCAGGGTCACATTCTAAATATATCAAAAAAAGTTTCAAAAACTGTTGGCATTCTTTCTAAGATCAGATATTATGTACCCCGCCCTGCTCTGGTTACTCTCTATTACTCCCTCATCTATCCATACCTCAACTATGGTATTTGTGCTTGGGGTTCTACTACCCAAAATCACTTACGTCCTCTCATTACCCAACACAAAGCTGCTATTAGGACAATAACCAACTCTGGCCCCAGACATCACTCGGTACCCTTACTCAAATCTCTGAATATGTTAGATATTAAGTCACTGCACATTCTCTCTTGTGTATTATACATATATAAAACGCTGAACTGTAATGCCAATCCTGACCTCAAAAGCTTCATTGAAGGTTGTAACAGAACCCATGAGCACCACACCAGGAATAAATACAGTTTTGATATTCCTAGAGTACGACTTAATCAAACTAGAAATGCTCTACAAATCAAGGGACCCAGAATGTGGAATGACCTTCCCAACCATGTTAAAGACTGTACCTCTCTCAACCAGTTTAAGATAAAAACTAAACAATACCTAATAAATTCCCTGTAACCCACCTCACTCCTTTATTGTCAACCCATGTCTGTTATTTTATTTTATTATTATTATATTTTTTTTTAATCAACACTGTTTGTCAACCTATTGTATTTGTGCTGCTTTTTCAGTCATGTTCCCCCTTTTTTTATCTTTATTTGTATTTGTTTTCAACACTTTTTATTCTTTATGCTCAATTAGTATTAAGTTCTAGATATTAATGTTTTTCTTGCCCGAAACGCATTGCGTAATAGTGGCTTTAGGCATTGTATGTACTAGCTCTATCTATATATCAATCCATTAATGTAACATCACTTGTATGTATGTACCTTACCTGAATAAACATATTTATTTATTTATTTATTTAACCACACCCATGATGTAACTACTGTGAACCACACCCATGATGTAACTACTGTGAACCACACCCAAGATGTAACTACCGTGAACCACACCCCATGATGTAACTACCGTGAACAACACCCATGATGTAACTACCGTGAACAACACCCATGATGTAACTACTGTGAACAACACCCATGATGTAACTACCGTGAACAACACCCATGATGTAACTACCGTGAACAACACCCATGATGTAACTACCGTGAACAACACCCATGATGTAACTACCGTGAACAACACCCATGATGTAACTACCGTGAACAACACCCATGATGTAACTACCGTGAACAACACCCATGATGTAACTACAGTGAACCACAGGTGCACTTAGCCTACCTGGATATAAAGTTATTTATTTCATGTTCTGTTGGGTAAGTCTTATAATGAACAATGAGGGGAGAATAAGTCAGTTAAGACATAATGAACAATATGGTGGAGAACAAGTTTGTTAAGACATACTGAACAAAAAGGTGGAGAACAAGTTTGTTAAGACATAATGAACAATAAAGTGGAGAACAAGTGTAACACCATAAATGTGTTTTAGTATATTATTTTACATACAAGGCGAGTCAGTCAGACAGGATATTGGTGTCGCCAGACAGTCGGCCCTTAGTAATTAAGAAGTCACACCTTTAGTGATTAATGGTCACAGGTGAGTAGGGGTCAGGTCGCGTGAAGTGGTCTTGCTTTGTGCTAAGCTAATAATTGCAGCTGGTTGGTTATGTGTTTCCATCAAACAAGCCACTGTCTAGGTGGTAGGTAGATAGCCAGAGGCTATCTCGTGGAAGGCGGAGCTTAGCTCCTGGTCCCCCCGACATATACCCGTGGAACTGGACATTTGAGACGTGTAGGAGGACAGAGATAAGTAGACTGTTACTCCGGAGAGAGAGAGAGAGAGATTCCCGCAGCCAGACTAGTCCTGTCATGCCGGCTAGGGGGTCTCTGTTAGCCATACTAACCCCGCACCCCTTTCTACCAACTTCACCAAGGTCTCAGAGACCTTGGTGAGTGAACTATCAGGTGGCGTATATTGTGATTTCAACTTAGGTGTTGTGTGATGTTCAGGGGCAGTCAGCTGTAGTGCTCTCAATTTCTTGTGTGGTGACTCAAATTGGTGTATTAATGATGTAGATCTTTAAATATCAGGTGATGTGGTTGAATAACGATACCCATATGACCAAATATATAATTGATTAACTTACCTTTTTAGTTGTCTTTAATTTCTGATCCCAAGATCTTGGATTTTGAAAGCTAGAGTGGAGAGCACTCTGAAGTTTACTGGCTCAAGATTTTGACTTAAAGATTCTTGGTTATATGAGTACATGCTTACATCAGATAAATGATAAAATCAGATAATATTGTTGTGCAGACAAGTTCCTTTCCTAATCTTATTTATACTTGAATGGATGGTGGCAGCAATCTTCTATCTCTCTACTATACTTCTATTTCTACTTTCTACTCTTAACCTTTCTACTATTCTAGCTTCTTACTTTCTATTCTTCAACTTTCCTCCTTGATCTCATTCTCTCACTCTCATTCTAAACTTTCCCTTTCTCCTGACTTTACCTCACTACTCCCTTCCATCTCTCTACCTCCCTCACCCCATGAGTTTCTCCATTCTTCATTTATTTTCCTTCATTTTCCGATACGTTACACTAGTTAAGACATTATGAACAATGAGGTGGAAAATGACATGGGAGGAAGGTGGAGTTACTTACCTGGCCAAGGTCGATAGTAAGGTTGACCTGGTTGTACTTCATGCCCCGGGACAATGGTGGGCTCTGCCACCATCGCTCAGATCCATCAATAGCGTACTGCGCCGGGTGGGCCTTGTCGGGCAGGTTGGGGTCACAGCGGTCGCACCACTATAATCAAAACAAACATTTCGTGAGTGGAAAACATTGGTATAGAGCTTGGGATGCTTCCCCAGCCTCAGGCTCACAACCACCACAAGTGTTGCTCTTAAAACGCTTCTGCCTCTCAAAACAGTATAGTAGTAAATTTTTTAGGGTTGACAGATGTTAATATTCTTGTTTGAGGAGCTGTTCACTTGAGATAGTTAAGCAAATCCCAGCTGTGTTTGGGTACAAGTGACAGGATAAACAACCCAGCAGGTTTTTTTCCTACTGGGGAGTGTTGTACATGCTGCTATGGCGGTGTGTCCACTTACAGGATAAGTGGCGCTGCCCAATAAACTCGCCCCTCGAGGCAAAATTTAAATTTAAAAGTATTAACAAATACAATGCAAGTAATTACAGTGTTTATATATATACAAGAGTTCTTAGATTCTTGTAAAGCCATAAACGCCTATCGTTTCAGGCAAGTCCTTAATCCTAACTTTCCCCGGAATACGACCCACCAAATTGTTAAACAACCAGGTACCCATTCACTGCTGGGTGAAAAAAAAAAATTCTTCTAACTGTTGGGTGAACAGAGGTGTACAGTTTAGGATTGGTGCCCAGTCAATCCTCCCCGGCCAGGATACGAAGCCAGGCCAGAGCTCTGGCGTAGCACCAGGCGAGTGCTTTACCACTGCGCCACGGGGACTGAAACTAGTAATTATCTATACTGTATAATTAATAGCAGATAATAACTGGTATAAACAATATATGCACCACTAAATGAACAAATAATTAATGACGATATAAATATAATTTGTGCGTGTGTCAATATTACGGTCATACCAAAATATATGAAACATCTGTCAACAATTCAAACGGAATGGGAAATATGATGAAGCTAAACTGGCAGACCTTAAGGAGACAGCTATACGAGGATGAGAACAATTAGAGAAGACAGCCAGCCTCAAGGTACACCTCTTGCACACTTCACTAACTGCACCAAGGAACACAATCACTTATCTTGTTAAACATAATGAGTAGCAGAAAATGGTCAATGAACTCAACCAACATGCTCCCTACATAGGTAAAAAGGTAGACAAGTTTCTTATCTTAACCTGCTACAAACAGCCAACAACTTAATTACAGAATGGCTAGAGTTGTATGATATATTAGTAGCTACCATTAAGGTATGATGAGTAACTAGCTACCATTAAGGTATAATATATTATTAGCTATCATTAAAAAAATGCATAAATATTCGTAATAAGGCAAATAGGATACTGAGATTTATTAATAGAAACTTTAGTAATAAGATACCTGGCGTTGTTCTTCAGCTATATCTTGCTCTGGTTAGGCCCCATTTAGATTATGCAGTTGTTTTGGTCGCCGTACTATAGAATAGATACAAATTCACTGGAATGCATCCAGCGTAGGATGACAAAGTTAATCCCCCAAATTAGAAATGTGTCATGAAGAAAAATTGAAAAAGCTTGAATTACATTCTCTAGAAAGGCAAAGAGCAAGGGGGGGACATGATAGAGGTGTACAAGTGGATGAATGGGCACAACATAGGTGATATTAATAGGGTATTAAAAAAATCAACATAACACAAAACAATGGGTATAAATTGAATAAGTTTAGATTTAGGAAAGGCCTGGGTAAATTCTGATTTGGCAACAGAGTTGTTGATTTGTGAGTGAATGGAATACTAAAGGGGTTAAAGATGGAAGGGGCTGAAAAAAACATTGAGAAGGTTTTCAGGTTGGGCTGGTACAACAAGGACAGAAACCGCCTGGTAAAGACAGTGTTTGCAAACGAGACCACGAAGGAGGATATTCTAGAAAGGAAGAGCCATTTGCAGTATGTGGAAGAATGCAAAAAAAAAATAGTGCTCCAGAGGGACAGGACGAAGAAGGAGAGAGCCATGGTGACAGAGGCAAGGAGGAAGCACAGGGAGAGGGTAGTAAACCAGGAATTCACATCCCCCAACACAACATTCCCAGAGGCGAGGGGGGGAACCCACAACCAGCATCCCAGCAACACCAGAGGGAATGGTAATACCACCACCCTCCTCTACATAGAAAACATCCCTACACCTCACCCTCCCTGCTCCCACTCAAATGCTCATGCAACCCTCCCTCCCCTCCCTCATCCCATGCCGACCTTATCACTCCTCCCCCCTCCCCCTTTCCCTTTCCCCTCAAGTCCCTCCATCCCATACCCTCCCTGTCCCCCCTGCCCTTTACCCCCATCCCCCACCCCAGAATCCTCTGAGAGACTGTTAACCACCTTATAGATCTTCACACCTAGTGAACAGCTTCCTCCATCAGCAGAATGCTCGCCAAGAAGAGGACAAGAGAATGAACAGAAAAAAGTGAGCTTCAAAGCAATGTACATTAACATAGATGGAATTACAAATAAAACAAGTGAACTTGGAGAATGGGCACTAGAAGAAAACCCAGACATAATAACACTCACAAAAATAAAGCTAACGAAAACCATAACAAATGCAGTGTTTCCACACGACTATTATGAAGTGAGGAAAGAGAAAGAAGGGAGGAGGAGGAGGTGGTGTAGCTCTGCTGATAAGAAAAGGCTGGAGTTTTGAAGAGATGGTTATTCAGAGCAGTGAAGAGTTAAGTGACTACATAACATTTATCATAGCAATTGAAAGACAAAAATTATAGTAGTAGTCAAATATAATCCCCCACCAAACGACAGAAGACCCAGACAGGAATATGATGGAAACAACATGGCCACCATTAATATAATTGAGAGAGCAGCTTCTGTAGCTAGCAGGAACGGATCCAGACTACTAATCATGGGAGACTTCAACCACGGGAAGATAGAACAAAGACCCACGTGGAAGACCCGACACATGGAGCGCCCAGCTACTGGACGTGGCAACAAGAAACTTTCTAAGCCAACACATCAGGTACCGACAAAAGCAAGAGGAGAGGATGAACCAGCCATGCTTGATCTGATATTTACCCTAAATGAGTCGGATACAAGGGAAGTTAAGTTGGAAGCCCTCTTGGGAATGAGTGATCACTGTGTATTTATCTTTGAGTACCTGGTAGAGCTAGGAATTATCTCCCCCAAAAAAGGACAGGGAAACAAAGGGCTGGCGTACTGAAAGGGAAATTATGAGATGAGAAAATTCCAAAGTGATATACCATGGGACACAGAACTCAGAACTAAGTCCGTACAAGACATGATGGACTATGTCACCCAAAAGTGTCAGGAGGCAGTAAACAGGTTTTTCCCAGCCTGACAGGAAAAAAACCGAGAAGCAAAAGAAGAATCTGTGGTTTAATAGGGCATGTATGAAAGCAAAGGAACTGAACAAAAGGGCGTGAAGGAACTTCCGAAATAGCTGAAAACCAGAAAGCAGAGAGAGATACCAGGAACGAGTGGGTTAATGTGAAAAGAGAAGCTGAAAAAAATGTATGAAAATGATACAGCAAATAAAGCCAAGACCGAACCAATGCTACTACACAGTCACATCAAGAGGAAAACAACAGTGAAGAAACAGGTGATGAAATTTAGAACGGGCGAGGACAGGTACACAGAGAATGACAAAGAGGTGTGTGAAGAACTCAACAAGAGGTTCCAGGAGGTCTTCACAATAGAACAAGGTGAGGTCACTGTGCTAGGAGAGGTGGCAGTAAACCAGGCCGCCTTGGAAGGGTTCGAAATTGCAAGAGAGATAAGGTCAAGAGGCATCTGTTGGATCTGGACGTGAGAAAGACTGTTGGCCCGGACGGAATCTCACCATGAGTATTGAAAGAGTGTACAGAAGCACTTTGCTTGCCAATCTTCATGGTCACCGGAGATGGGAGACCTACCAGAAATATGAAAGACGGCTAATGTAGTCCCAATATACAAAAAGGGTGACAGACAAGAGGCACTGAACTACAGGCCAGAATCTTAACTTGTATACCATGCAAGGTGATGGAGAAGATTGTGAGAAAAAACCTAACAACACCTCTGGAGTGAAGGGACTTCGTGACAACCCATCAACATGGATTCAGGGAGGGTAAATCTTGCCTTATGGACTTAATAGAATTCTACAATCAGGTGACAAGATTAAGCAAGAAAGAGAAGGACGGGCGGACTGCATTTTCTTGAACTGTCGGAAAGCCTTTGACACAGTACCCCCCCTTAAGAGGCTGGTGCATAAGCTGAAGAAACAGGCAGGAGTAAGTGATAGGGTGCTCCAGTGGATAATGGAGTACCTAAGCAATAGGAAGCAGAGAGTTACAGTGAGGGGTGAGACCTCAGATTGGCGGGAAGTCACCAGTGGAATCCCACAGGGCTCTGCACTCGGACCTATCCTGTTTCTGATATACCTAAATGATCTCCCAGAGGGTACACTAACTCCTCTCAATGTTTGCTGACGACGCCAAAATTATGAGAAGGATTAAGGCAGAGGAGGACAGCTTGAGGCTTCAAGAAGACTTGGACAAGCTGCAGGAATGTTCGAACAAATGGTTGTTAGAGTTTAACCCAAACAAATGTAATGTAATGAAGTTAGGTGTAGGGCTCAGGAGACCAGATACAAGGTATCATTTGGGAGATGAAATTCTTCAAGAGTCGGAGAGAGAGAGAGAAAGACCTGGGGGTTGATATGATGCCAGACCTGTTCCCTGAACCTTACCTTGAGGTTACCTTGAGGTGCTTCCGGGGCTTAGCGTCCCCGCGGCCCGGTCGTCGACCAGGTCTCCAGGCCTGAAGCCCATATCAAGAGGATAACATCAGCTGCATATTCCAGGTTGGCTAACATATGAATGGCCTTTAGAAACTTGTGTAAGGAATCTTTCAGAACTTTGTATACCACATATGTCAGACCAATCCTGGAGTATGCGGCTCCAGTATGAAGTCCATATCTAGTCAAGCAGAAAACTAAAGTGGAAAAGATTCAACAGTTTTCCACCAGACTGGTACCCGAACTGAGAGGTATGAGCTACGAGGAAAGACTACGGGAATTAAATCTCACGTTACTGGGAGACAGAAAAGTTAGA